CCCCCGTGTGACCGGGCACACTTGCCGTAAATGCAAAGTGTCAGGGTCGCGACTTCGTCCTTTCTGGACGAGGTCCGCCCGTGGTACCACACGGGGACCAAATGCCTCAAAAAAAGGGGAACCAAATGCCTCAAACTTTTGAGACTTTTGGTCCCCGTGTGAGTATGCCCTCAGAGAAAGCAAAAAAAAAGGTGGGGGGGGGGGGGGGAAGGCACTCTGACGCATACTGGCACTCCTAATCATCAACCAGCAGCTGAGGGGCAAGGTCCCACTAGCAAAGAGGATCGGATTTAAAGCCATGAATCGGGACATGTTTGGGGAGAGGTGCAGAAAATTGCAACAGATCTGCTTTTTTTTTTTTTTTTGAGAAAGAAGATTTATTATAGCCGGAAACCCAGTCCTGTGTCCCTTACAAGCGGCAACCATTATGGCATTATCCGGGCACTCCGGCCAGGTTCATGCCCGGGTCGTGGTAGCCAATCAAACTCTGAAAAAGGGAAAAAAAAGCAAGCGCACAGAGAGTTTCAGTGCCCCTATATGAACCTTTTTTTTTTTTCTTTTTTCTTTTTTAACTCCCTCCAGTGCTAGGGGTGCTGGTAAGAGAAGACACCACTAGCACCCAGGGAGGGGCTCCATCTATTGGTGGGGAGCAACACCTGCTGGGAAACGGGCCCAGCGTCCCTTGTACAATGATTCAGAAAATAAACAGAAAGCTCCTGAGGCAAACCTGGAGAGTATCTGGGAAAAACAGAAAGCTCCTGAGGAAAACCGGGAGAGTATCTGCCCCTATATGAACCTAATAATGGGGAAAGAGAGAGGTGATAGGCGAGGGAGGAAGACAAGGAAACGATAGAAGGGCAAAATTACAGAACAAGAAGCAATTAGCAGCCAGTCAGGCCGGAGGGATCTATCATACGGCCTAAAGAGGTCACTCAGGTTCAGCTGTACAATCGATGTCAGATTCTATTTACAGTCTATCCTACAAAGCAATTCTGCAACCTACGTATGGTCGCCAACAAACTAAAAAAATCAACAAAAACAGCCAACACTCAGACAATTTTAGTGCCCCTATATCTATGAGCCTGATAACGAGTGAAGAGTGAGGCAGTAGCCGAGGCAAGAAGCCATGGAAGCGCTAGAAGAACAAAAATTACAGAAAATTACAGCACAAGAAGCAATAACCGGCCAGTCAGGCCCAAGCAATCGATCATATGGCCTAAGGAAGTCACTCAGACTCAACTGCACAATCTATGTCAGACCTTATTTACAGTCTGTTTTGCAAAGCAAGTCTGCAGCCCACGCCCCGACTTAGCTTGGAAAAAGAACTCTTTGTTGGAGGAAAAAGGTAGAGAATTTCAACTCCGGACGCATTGCAGGTTGCTGTTGGACCGTCAACAGGCCTGGGAAGGCCAACCATATGGCAACAAATCACCTTCAAGTTGTTGCTTCAGCTGTAAAGCCTTTATTCTGTACTTTGTAGGGCCAATCACTGTGGATCGCCTGCTTGATAGAATACTTTATTTCTGCCCGGACCATTGGGGGTATGATTCTCTCCCCCCTTCTGGTTGCCGAATTCCGCAGCTGCGTCCATAATGTCCAGAGAATGGCAGCTCTCAAGGTTTCCTCTGCATAGCCAAGCTGTCCCGGTACTTGCGTAGGTCTCGACG